AAGACATATACTATATAGTTTTTGTGTGGAATCTAAATGAAAACAAAACAAACAAAACAGACTCATAGAGACCAAAGGGATGGTTACTAGAAGGGAGTGGATAGGGGATGGGTGAAATGGAGAAAGGGAACATAGTCAGTAATAGTGTGATAAGAGTAGACAGTGACAAATGATTACTAGGATTAGCGGTGTGATCATATTATAAGGTATAAAAATGGTGAATCACTATATTGTATACCTGAAACTAATATAACCAATATAAGATTATATACCAACTACACTTAAATAAACAATAAATAAATAAATAGATAAATTAGTAGATTAACAGGACACACATAGAACTTCAAATGTGGTCTCAAAGGGATTTCCATGAAAAATAGGTAAAATATGTTGAATATTTCGGAAATAACCTTTCAGTATTATAATGCTGGCTAACATTTTGTCACTTCAGTAGTTACAACAAATAGTTTCATGGCTTCACTTATCTGATCAATTTAAATAACTTCTCTAGTCCTAACTCATCTCTTGAAGACTGGGTCTGCATTTCTACCTTCCAGGTGACTCTCTCTGTACGAATATACGCCTAACTCAAATAAGGAAGCTCATTATCTTTCATTTTAAAACACATCTTCAAGGGGTAACTAAAACAAATTCATGGAAAGTAGAATACAACATTTTTTCAGTTTGCTAATTTTTTCCCCATCAATTAGATTTGTCCAAAAATAAAATGAGCTGCCCTGAAAAGTACTAAGCTCCACATCCTAGGCAATTAAAGCACAGTCTGAATAACAACTTGGCAAGGGATAGTGAAGCAAGGATTTGGCTTTGACATCATTGGTCAGACCAGATAGCCTTTCAAGTCCCTCTGATGCTGAGATTCTACGATGTTAGAAAAATATTCCCACTCCCCTCTCTCATTATATAGTTTAAGAGTCCCTTTACTGCTAAAACACACATGATTTACAGGTTCCACTACATAGAACACCTATTCTTTATTTCCTGATGCGTTATTCAAACAGTTTAATTCATTTCAACAAATGTATTTGATTAATTTATTCTTATCTTGGTCTTTTAAAACTTTCCCCACCCCCACCCCCAGTAGTTTAAATCTTAACATTTACAACCTATTAATTCCAAGAAATTTTACAAAATCTCGTACAAAGGAAATGATGACTTTATGTACTTAATCCAGGTGACAAATACAAATTTGGAAACTTTGTTCATATTGGACAGATTAGCTCTGAGAGTCCTAAAATAGTTCACGTAACTTTTGCGATTAAAGCATGCATTTACTTAAAAAATAAGCTGAGGTTTCATTTAGTGGATGCTTATAATGTGTTTCTAAACATTTTAGTGAAACAGGATAGAAAAGATCAATGTCTAATTGAGTATCTTGTAACTTCATATTTATAGTTTGTAAGTTATTATGATAATGCAGCTATCACCCACAAATCTGTTGATTCACGAAATATGACACCTCTGTAAAAACAAAGTTTTATCAATTGCTTTGGAACTTATACATGATAAAAAATGTTTCAAACATGTTTCTTCTATGGAGGCATAGGAAGATCTATACAAATAAATATTTATGTACCTATGTAACCCTCAGTCTGAACTGTTCAATCTTTTGAATTCTTTCAATGAATATTAAGAAGTCCCAAAACACAACCAAACTAAAGACATTTAATTTCAGTTTTATCTTATTTTTAAATTGCTTAAGTTTTTGAAGGCTAAATCCCCATTTATAAAATTGTATGTGCAGCTATATTTTCAATTGTTTCAACAGTGGTATCAAAATTTAATCAAATGAGGATACATTTATCTTTTTAATAATTATGAAATATATAGTTTGTTGGCCTAAGAAGTACTTGGAATGGACAAAGAAGGAAAGAAGTAGGATACATGAATGTTCGTGCAATAGTTAAAAACAGATGAATACAATATATGGATAACTTAGGTATTCTCATAAATTGCTATATAATTTGGAACTTTCTTGGGTGAATGATCCATTATTCAACAAACTTTCTAGTACTACCTAAATTGGTATTAAATCTTTCAAAAAGTGTATTTATTTTATTTAAATCAGAATGAGTAAAACGTATGCTAGACAAGAAAACTATGCCTACTTGATTCACTTTTAATACCATTGTCTCTGTCTGGAAAATGACAGGGTAGTTAAAAAGAAAACTGAAATACTGTGATGTCTTCGTAACTAAAAATATGTATGTGAATCAGGATTATAAACATATTTGTTTCTTGTTGAACTGAAAAGTACATTCTGTATCTGATTTTTATGTTTATCTTTAATCCATTATGCATCATCAATAAAGAATAGGGTTTTTTAACGAGAGTTCTCTTTTTCATAATGTAAACTATGTTTGATTAAAATAAAACCATGGATACGTAAAACCTTTGCATAATGCAGTAAGAAGTCACAACACAGAATCACTCAAAGGTCCATCGACACCCACTTACTCAACAACATTTTTATATGGCCTGAACTATTTGTATTGGAAGTACTCACTTTTAACACTAACACATACTAGCTATTTAATTTTCCAGAGTCCCAAGTTCCATCATGCCATACCAACATCTGGCCAGAGAATATATTATCATATTCAGAGTTCTCTCATCAACAAATAACCTTGCAAATCAAATAAAATGAAAATACTTCCACAAAGTTAAAGAGATTCAGCTATTTTAGGAATGATGTTGCTTGGTTTCTCTCAGGGTTACCCTAATACCCTCCAGCCTGAGGCTCAGGGCATGTGTGAGATTTCACACTTGCCTACATAGAATATGGTGTACTTGGGAGCGATTGTCCTCGAGTGAAGCAACCACCTGAAAAGGCCAGAAACATCGCTATGACTCATTGGCCTACTGATGTAGCTTGGTTTCTCCTAAGTCAGACTGGTTTGTTATAGGAATGGACATTTTTCACATCCTTTCCTTTCACAGCCTTTAAAACTGTTTGGAGACCTGATGAGTGAAAAATCCAAGACAACTGTTCTTTTCATATCCATGTCTTCATATATGTAAAGTTCAAATAGAGGCATTTATTATCCAAGAAATTACTAAAGAGAGGTTTGAAATTCATGCCAGTAAATATGAAAAGCTGTCTTTAAAAGAATAGGTTTTGATATTATGGTGCTTTTATAACTTTCTGGGTCCCTGTAGATACCTCACTAATCTAAATAATCTTAAAGAGCACTGGGTATTTTGGAGAACAAATAAAAACATTATAAATATGACATTAAAAAAATTCTAAACTTGGGCCGGCCGAGTGGCGTGATGGTTAAGAACTCGCTTGGGATGCCAGAGGGCCCCGGTTCGGATCCCACATATGAGGGCCAGTGACACTGCCCTCCACAGCTAAGATGCTGAACAACAGCTCAACCTGGAGCTGGGCTGCCATGAGTCGCCGGCGACGGCGTGGGCTGCAGTCCCTGTGGCAGTGGATTGCCATGGGCTACCGTGTGTGGCCAGCAGCCAGCGTGAGCGGCCAGCAGCCGCAGGGAGTGGCCATCCAGAAGCTGGAGACTGATCTGCCTCGCCAGAGAAGAGCGCAATGATGGTGCCAACTTGGGCCAGTGAAGCAACATCCTCCACAACTAGATTGAAGAACAAAACGACAGCAACTTGTCTGGTCCCCTTTCCCCAATTCCCCAGCACTGTTCCCATCCCCCCAATTCCCCAATAAAAATCTTAAAAAAAAAAAACATAAAAGAAATGTTTAAAAAAAAATTTCTAAACTCTAAGCTCACACTTTAGGCATAACCAGTACAGTTGCCACACTAAATCTGTCTGTCTATCTATGTATGTATATATATCTATATAGATATATATAGATATCTATATAGATATCTATAGATATCTTTAGATATTCCAAAAAATTCCACAGGCACCTGGCTTTCACTATGACCAGTTCCATCCTCTCTCCTAAACACTAGTCTTGTAGCATTTATGTGTATAATATAAAGTAACAATAGAAAACCCATTAAATAAATGTTAAAATTATATCTCCAGGCCTGTTTCACATACAAATTAAAAGAGAGGACTGCCTCTCTGCAAGGGCTGAGTTAGAGTTCCTTTGAAAGCTTTTGAAAACAGGGTCGAGTTCATTTTACATCTACAATTATAATATAGCTACACGACTTCATTTGTCTTGGGCAATTTATTGCATTAACTTCAGGAAGGAATGTTAAGAGATATGGAGATGATTCCCCGCACTACCTCCTATTCAGTTTGGGAGTTAGCAGAAGGCTGCCCCTTCTCCAACACAGCCGCTGATGAAAGGGAGCTATTAGAAAGAACTGCGTTGGTTTACACTGCAGATTGAATGGAGCATTAAATGACTGCATTAGTGTGACTGCAGTGGGGGTAACGGTCGCCTCCAGTGAGTATGGAATGTTGTGATAATACTTTCACATAGGTGCAGAAACGATTCAAGTGTCCTTATTTGTCACGAAATGGTATCCAACATCTCTCCAGCAGATGACCCCCAAACCTCTCCTCAACCTAGTTTATTTTCTTCCCTCGTTGCTAGGGTAAACAGATGAGGAAATACATGTACTTTCAAACGGTCACCTATGTATCACGAAGGTGGGGGGGGCTACTGCAAATCACTTGGAAACAGCTTCTAGAAGGCGATGAGCGATCACTCCCACCAATCTAGCTCAGATGCTCTTCGTTTGATCACCCCGCCTCCCCCCTCCGGCCTGGGCTGTAATTTTCCAAACAGCCACCTCTCATTTGCAAATAAAGTTAAAATCAATCCAAATACAGAATGCTGACTTCCTGTCACTCAATTTTACAGGGTTTCTCTTTGTAGAGCTGCCAGATTGTGACCGATGAGAGAGAGAGAGAGAGAGAGAGAGAGAGAGAGAGAGAGAGAGAGAGAGAGAGAGAGAGAGAGAGAGAATATCACTTGCTTCCTTGCTTCCTAAGCAGGGATTTGCCTGCGATTCGCGGCGAGAGGACTGCGGTGGCTGATTTACACAGTTGGCGCGGAGGAGGGGCCGGGGGTGCGGGGGGACAAGCTGGCGGAGGCTCCGGCGATGGGCTGATCTGGGGCTCCCGAGCGCCTCTCTCTCCGTGCGCGATTTGGGGGCAGCTGATGGATTTGCACTCGGGTTCCAGCCCAGCGTTTTCTATATTGCCTCCTTAATACCCGACCTGGCGGCCCCAGTTTGGGTGCGGACGTTGGTAAGTAACGTGCAATTCGATTTTAGTTATTTCCTAGGCTATTAAAGTGACACTTTTAAAGCAGGTCAGTCTTAAACGATGCTGCCGCCGCGAGCGTCTCCTTGGCCTGAAACGTTCCGCGGTCCTCTCCTCCCCCCCGTTCTCCTAAAACACACATGATTTACAGGTTCCACTACATAGAACACCTATTCTTTATTTCCTGATGCGTTATTCAAACAGTTTAATTCATTTCAACAAAT